ATGTCACAGCCTTAACTAATAATTTAAGCATGAGCAGTCCTTGATAACCCATCAGATCCTCGAGCGAACGCGGCGCTCCGCGCGGAACCGCCACGCTGACAGGGACAGCAGTAGTGACATGGCCGTGCACACCCACCTTCCCCTTCCCCACTCTTCCTACGCCTGAGAGGATTTTTCTTTTAATTTTTTTTTTTTTTTTCCCCAGCAGGGAAAGTATTTGTATTACAGGGTATGAAACTAGTCCAACATGCAAGCTTATTTAATTTGGAAAATGTGTGGCTAAATGCCACTTGTTATGGGATTAGTTAACAGCTGCAAGTCTGCTACTGTGGAAAGAATTTTTTTCAAGGGAAAAAAAAGAAAGAAAAGGATTTAAGTGCGAGCTGCTATGTGCTGTCTCCCAACGTTTTGTGTGGATTTTTGAGTTTCATCGGGTGTCTGGGCTGGCGGTGGGGCTGTCCTCACTCCCCTGTCAGCTGAAGCCACGTACACCTAGCCGAGCTCCTCGCAGATAGCTCCAAGTGCTAGCAGCGAGCCCAGCCCCATGGAGTGACCAGCAGCAGCTCCGGCCTCACCCCGGCACCGCTGCCTGGCCCAGCCACCCTCTGCCTCCAGTCACAGACACCCACAAGCGTCAGGTTACTGGCAGCTCTCAAGTTATACCTCCAGCTAATCCTGCAGTGCAGACAGGCTCTAAATTACTTGTTAAAAATCCTGTCCTCGCCCTGAGTGTCCTCTGGTGTCCTCCATCACTAAGTGCTGCTAATGAAGGAGCAGATCATCTTTAACACATCAGTCACACAAGCCAAACCCACCAGTCACTTTATTTTCCATGACCTCCCTGCATGACCAGAACAGATATTTCCATGCAGATGCCAAGAAGCAAATTCTCACAACTTGCTCCTCCCAGTCCCAAAGTGCTTCTCATTAGTATCCTGTTGCTGTCCTCTTTCCTACTCAGGAATATCTTATCTTAGAATCATGGAACAGTTTGGGTGGGAAGAGACCTTAAAGCTCATTCAGTGCCACCCGTGCCACGGCAGGGACACCGTCCACTGTCCCAGGCTGCTCCAAGCCCCGGTGTCCAACCTGGCCTGGGACACTTCCAGGGATCCAAGGGCAGCCACAGCTTCTCCAGAGCTGAGGCCCTTTGTCAGCCTCGACTGTTGGGTGTTAACCACAAATCTGGTGCTTGCTTCTGGGCTCAAGGAAGGACACAGAGCCACTCCAGGAGCAGCCACTCCCAGGGAAGAAGCAGCCTCAAATCCTCACCTTGGAGAGGTGTGAGGAGGAGGATGGCTGGAGGGGTGGAAACTCACTGCTGAGCACAGCAAAGGCTGTTCAGACAGTGTCACTTCCCATTCCAGGCTCTGCATCTCACTGCTGCTCAACCTACAGCACAACAGTCCGAAAGGTTTTCATGGCAAAATCCATAACAAAGGAAATAAATCCCTTTGTCACCCCCTGTGACAGATGTGACCCAAATTATCTTTGCAGAAGATGTATCCTAGTGGATCTGCTGCTCTGGGGGGCAGGAGGACTTTTGTGCTTCTGGGCACAAAACGCTCAAGGCATCGGAGTGAGCCACAGCAGGGAGGGGGACAAAGGCATTGGCATCAAACCCCTGAAAAACTGCCTGTGCCTGCAGCTGTCTCAGATCAGTCATCTCTGAGCAAAAGCCAACGTGTGCTTCTCCCAAGGTTTTGGGGGGCTTTTTCCAGCCCTAGGACCTCTGGAAGTCCATGTCACCACTTTAGAGCTTCTAATAGAAACCACAAATGGGAGTTTCTTCAAGAATAACCTGAAGAAGGTGCTCTGCAGCCTGTCCCTGGAGCAGAGGAGAGCCTGTACGAGGCCTGAGCTCACCAAACCCCTTGTATTAGCTCCAGCCAGTCTCTGCTGAACTGGTGCTATCTATCCTAGCTGAAATTTTGTTTCAATCCTGTATTTATTCCCAGGATATAATTTAGAAACAACACAAAGTTATTCACATCACACGGCAGGAAAATTCCTCTTTGGCTGTTCCTTTTGGATACTATAACCCAATTACTTTCACATCACATGCATACAACAAATGATCACACTGTGCTGACACACACCCCGCAATTACGTGGACACAGATGGATGTCACGTGCCATTTTTCTGCTGGAAGTGACACCCTGAAAGGGGGAGGACAGAGGTAACTGGCCCAAGTTTCTTAGAATCACATTTCTGTTACACCAGTGCCAATTCCTTGGCCACAGCCTGAGCCACTGTGCATCTGCTCAGCACAACCAAGATCCGACTGTGCAGGCAAAGCTTTTTCCTTGCTGGAGATCAGCAAAGCAGAGGTCAGGGCCAGGCTCCCCTGTGGCTGCACGCACCTGGGAAGGGAGTGAGTGCAGGACGATGGTGTGTGGTGGCTGCGCCTGCAGCTTTGTGCTCAACAGCCCCAGCAGACTTGTAATACTGATGAGCACGTTGTGCTGAGACAAGAAAGATCTTTAAAAAACACTGGAGAAAAAAGCTACACATACGCTTTTAAAGTGTATCGATATCTCACTCATAGTGAGGAGCAGCAAACCAGCCCAGGATTCCTGGCACTTTACATGGCTGCATAAGCTGGATTTGCCATTTCAGTTGCTTCCTAATAATCCTCCCAATAAAATTTAAAATAAGTGGGGCATTATGACTCTTTTCACAAGCAAGGCTCCCAAAGCACTCCCAGCCCTGTGCTCCTGGGTAAGTCTTTGCACAGGAGAGCCCCTGTCCTGGAAAGAGCATCAGCACATCCAAACTTCAGGCACATCCCCCAGCTCCACTGGGACCTGCACACTGCAGATGCTACAAGTGGAAAGCCGCATGTAGAAAAAAATTATTATTGCCTTCATTTCTTTTATCTTAAAAGGGTCCAGACTGAGTAAATTCTCTTTCTCATAAATCTAAAAAATTCTAGTTTTCTATGATTCCTTTTTAAAAATGACAGAGCAAAAATCCTTGTTTCCAAAGCTGGAAGTCTGCAGCCTCCCTTCCCTGGTGGGGCAGGAGGGAGGCTAGTGAAGGCTTTTTCCATTTGTCCACATTTAAAGCTGGGTCCACTTTAAGAGAAACAAGTGAGAATTGGGTCTTACTATTTCAGAAATGAAAGGTATTTACCCTCAAGACAGTAAAATATCTTTTAAACTTTGCTGATGCAGGGGAGGAAATGGGAAGTTTACAAATGTAAAGCTCCAGCCCTGCACACCCAGCTCCACTCCTGCTCAGGTGTGGAGATCACTGAAAGCAATACAATTTCTCACCAGCACAGTCACACATCAATAGTTCCATATCTGCATCTTCTATCAGTGCAAAAGTTGCTTTCAAGAGGAAAACATTCTTCACAGCAAATTCAAAGTTTGCCCAGTTTTAAAAATTACTTAATAGGATCATGGAATGTCTTAGGTGGGAAGGGACCTCACAGCCCACTCCATCCCACACCCTGCCATGGGCAGGGACACCTTCCACTATCCCAGGGTGCTCCAAGTCCCATCCAAGCTGGCCTTGGGCACTTCCAGGGATGGCACAGCCACAGCTTCTCTGGGCACCCTGTGCCAGGGCCTCCCCACACTCACAGGGAAGAATTGTTTTCCAATACCCCATCCACCCCTGCCCTCTGGCAGTGGGAAGCCATTTCCTGTGTCCGGTCCCTCCATCCCTTGTCCAAAGTCCCTCTTCTGGAGCCCCTTTAGGCCCTGGAAGGGGCTCTAGGGTCTCCCTGTAGCCTTCTTTTCTCCAAGCTGAACAATCACAATTCTCTCAGTCCTTCCTCAGAGGGAAGGTGTTCGTTCCATCCCTCTAAATATCTTGGTGACCCTCTTTTCTCCCACCTCATGAAGTCACACAAAGCAAATCGCAACTGCTCACCAGAAAAAAAACAAGAGCTATTTGCTAGAGCCCTGATAATGTTTAAAAATATATAGTCAAACATCATGCTAAGTGGAGGCCTGATAAATGAAAGTCCATCTCTTACACTAACCTTCAAGGTAAAATTAATAATTAATTAGTAAAGCCAGGACATGGAATGATTGCTATCAATATTTTAATGCTTTTACTGCTAATTTCATTCTCCCTCCATGTTCTGCTGCTGGAGAAGCAGAAGAGCTGCATGTGCTCTTTCAGTGCAGCCCCTGCCTCAGGGCCAGTGCTGGAGGAGCAGTGTCACCCACAAGGGTGTCCCAGACATCCCTGCTGCCAGACCCCAAACCCAGTGTTCATGCAGCGTCCGGCACCGGCGCTCTCCAGCCTTCCATGGCATCGGCTCCAAGCCAGGACCACTCCCATGGAGCCAGCAAGCAAAACTAGGAGGGGTTTCATGAAGATAAGCAAAATGCAGCTGTAATCTTCCCCAAGCATTAGAAATATCTATTCCCTCTCCCACAACACAGCAAGGAAAACTTTGGCCCAAGAGGAAGACTGCTGGGAATGTTGGGAGGAGGTGATTCCAGGCAGGTGCCAGGGCCCAGGAGCAGGGAGCAGGCGGTGGGCAAAGGAAGGGAAATGAGTACTGCCCTCACTACTGGAAGGCAAAGTGTGTCCTGCCTGCCTTATTTACTCTTTATTAGTCTAATGAGGCTGTTTCCTGGGAGTTTAATTACCATAATAGAGACAATTCCTTTCTTAACCCTCTTTACAGCCTGGAAGAGAAAGAGCCTCTGACAGAGGAATGTGGAACACGAGCAACGCTGTGTTTGCATCAGCCCGAGCAGGGCCCCGACACCTCAGGCACGTGGCCACAAACCTCCCCTTTGGGGGGTTCCTGCCGTGGGGGGGGTCCCAGCCAGGCTCCACTGCCCACCCTTGCCCAGCACCCCTGCCTGGCTGGCTGGAAGGCTGCACCACAGAGCTCTGCTGCAGAAAAATTAAGAGCACATGATTAATGCTACATAAAATGTGTGGGTTCCCAGCCCTTTGAAATCATACCTCTTCATCATTTCCATTTACAGTTTACTAATGAAATTAGATATGGTAAAGGGTTCCTTTCTTTCTTTTTTCCCTTAAATTGACTGTACATTTTTTTAGAGTTAAATCAACATATTTTCCATTCCATATTCAGCAAGAAATCAGACAATTAAATGTGAGGGTTTTTTTTCTGCTGCTGCTAAGAGATATTTCCATGGTGTTGCCATAATACATACAGCAATTTACTGTATTAGACTCGCATGTCTGTTACTCTGCACAACAGATACAACAGATCAGATTAGAACAAGCTAAAGAGGCAGCGAGGATGAAAAGCACCAGACCTAAGAGGAGAAAACACACAGGCCCTGAAAAGCCAAAGCAGAGCTGTGCTCACACAACCACAAGGCTCTCCCAGCCCGCTTCATCCACAGCTACACAAAGCAGACAACACCCTGCAAAAGCAATTGCTAAACCCAGAATAGCCTGTGCCAGAGTCCAAAATCCAAAACAAAAAATCCTTGCCTAATTTTCTTCTAACAAATAGGGCATGAAGTCCTGATTGCTGGGCACCACGGTGTTGATGACAGGCAGCCATTAAAACATCACTGTGAGGTCACAACCAAATTACATAAGGCTGGAGACAAGGGCCATGCTGGTGTGACATGTGCACAGTGTGCAGGTGAGTTACACATGTGCCCCGTGCCCAGGTGTGGCACACACACGCCGTGCACACTGCAGCCCCAGCTCAGTCCCTCCCAGAACAGCTCTCTGGCACTGCTGGCCTCTGGCACCACTGTCCAACAACTGTGGGGAGGGAATTCTCTAGCACTACTCTTTAAAAACATGGGGAGGAATGGATGTTTACACAGCTGTCACCTTAACTAGCACTGGAACTGTAAAATGCAGGTGAAATTAAATAACTAAAGGCATTTCCCTTGAAATTCTGATCGCAGAGTTGCCCCAAGAGCAACAGGATTTGGGAGCCTCGCATTCCGACGCTGCATGTTTAGATGAATGCTATCTTTTCTGCAGTGCAGTTTGAAGGTTTGGGCTTGGCAGTAAGAAACTGCACTCTCACTAAAATTCATCCATGGATATCCCCTTTGAACGCTTCTTGGATGGTTATTTTCACTAACATTGTGTTTATTAGCAGAACAGAGGAAGGACTGTAAAGCAGGATCACGGGAGAGTTTGATTTCCAGGCAGTGATGAATGGCGGGGGAGGCCAGGTCACCCGGCTGCAACATCAAAGGGGCGACTGAACCAGCAGCACACTTGAAGTTAGTTAAAATGCCATCACCATTTTCTGAGTTTTGCTTTTTTCTTACATTTAAAGAAATTATATTCCCTAGTGCTGGCCTCAGCCATTATTTCCAGGTCTCTGATGATACCCAGGACTCTATAAAGGCATTACCTGCTGGCATGCCAACGAGGATTTGCCACAAGGTTTAATTGTGCTACCATGCGCTCCTGTCCTCGCCATGTCATTTAAGGAACTTCAACAATGCACTTTATGCACCTTCCTGTGGGCCTGCTCCATCCTAAGGCACCAGGATTAAACTGCCAAGGAATTTGTGTGGGTCTTGCTCCTTTTGGGCTAAAACTGGATAGATTCTTTCAGAGCTTTGCCCTCCTTTTCTGTCAACAGGGGGTGAGGAACCAAGTGTTCTTGGGGTAGCACATGGCAAGAGGCAAGTCCTAAGCCTTGAAGCTGAAGCAGACACAGGCTAAGGAAACACAGTTGTGTACTATGTACACACTTAGAGTTAGCAAAGGTAAAAGCAGTCTCAAACTGACTACTAAGCACAAGATATCCCGGACTACTTTGGGTTGGAAAGAACCTTAAAGCTCATTCAGTTCCTCCCCACTGCCATAGGCAGGGACACCTTCCACTATCCCAGGCTGCTCCAAGCCCTGTCCACCCTGGCCTTGGGCACTTCCAGGGATCCAGGGGCCACCACAGCTGCTCTGGGCACCCTGTGCCAGGACCTGCCCACCCCCACAGGGAAGGATTCCTTCCTAATACCCAATTAACCCTGCCCCCTAAATATGTGCATTCAGTATACCTAAATAATTAATAAGTGCATGGAATGAACCAAATCTTCAGTTAAGTCTTACTAAAGGCAGGTGGAACTCAGAGAAGCCCTGTGGCAGATCACACACCTGCAGGGGCCCCTCCTGCGGCCGGCCCCTTCGCTGGCTCCTCCAGCAGCCGTCGCTCAGCGGGGCTTTGGCTTCTCCTGGCGTGTCCTTCCTGCAGAAGTTCTCCTTCCCTGGAGAAACGGACCCGTCCTTAGCGTGTCCATCCCTTCCATCGTGACTTTTAAACAGGAAACCTCGGTGATATTTGTAACTAGCCGGCTCTCGTCTGCGCCGCGTTCGCTCGGCGAGCCCGCTCCAGCACCCACCGGTTCCGGCGGCTCGGAGCCCGCTCGAGCCCCTCACAGAGCCCGCGCGACCCCTCACAGAGCCCGCGCGACCCCTCACAGAGCCCGCGCGACCCCTCACAGAGCCCGCTCGAGCCTTCCTCGCTCCCCCTCACACAGGTGTGCGCACAGCCATAAACACACAGGTGTGCACACGCGCGCACACACACACGCAGATACACACACACACACACACACACACACACACACAGGTGCGCACACACCCCTGCGCGCTTGATGCGGGGGCACCAGGGGGCAACCTCGGCCCAGGAAGCGCGGCCGGGCTGGGCCGAACCCGGGTGAAAGAACACGGAACAAACACACACAGAATAAACACGCACACGCACATACAGGTGTGTACACACACATACACACACACAGAGGTGTGCACACGCACACACACGCAGGTGTGCACACACACGCGGTGCCCCGGGGTGCTCTCACAGGCCCGGTTGTGGCCGCGGGCCCAGCGGATGGCCGCTGATGGCCGGGGGCTGCAGGGACACGTGTGACACGTGTGTGACACCTCAGGGAACGAGGCAGCGGGATCCCGAGCAGGGGAGGAAGCGGGGGGAGGCTCAACTCTCTCCCTAATAAATTTTACCTACTTTTCACACATTGACAATACGAGGAAGAAAGAACAAAACAAGTTTTTAAAAACCCAACCTCCACTAAAAACGCTTTGGAAGTCACAGAATTCCTAAACAGTTTAGGCTGGAAGGGACCTTAGAGCTCTTCTCATCCCACCCCCTGCCATGGGCAGGGACACCTCCCACTGTCCCAGGCTGCTCCCAGCCCGTGTCCAACCTGGCCTTGGGCACTTCCAGGGATCCAGGGGCAGCCACAGCTGCTCTGGGCACCTGTGCCAGGGCCTGCCCACCCTCACAAGGAACAATTCCTTCTGAATATCCCATGTATCCCTGCCCTCTGGCACTGGGAGCCATTCCCTGTGTCCTGGCACTCCATGCCTTGTCCCAAGTCCCACTGCAGCTCTCCTGGAGCTCCCTTAGGCACTTGGGAAGGGGCTCTGAGCTTTCCCTGGAACCTTCTCCTCTGCAGGTCAGTGCACACCCACCCAAAACCAGGCTGGGTTCCCCTGAAATGCTCTGCTTCAGAGCATGGTGGGTGCATCACAGGGATGCTGAGTCCCTGTGGACCACCAGCTTTCACGGATCACAAGAGGAACACAAAGTCTAGAAGACGTGCCCAGGCTGTGGTGTAATCCTGGACGTTCCTGCGCGTCAGGCTTTCCTAAATTATCTCCTGGGTAAACAACCTAAAACCAGCCTCTGTGCTCTGACGTACACCGGCTTGTTTCCCTGGGCATTTTGCCCGGGCAAAGAACCCGGGCTTTTATCCCAGATTTTTATCTGAAGAATTGCATATATTTATCCAGGCTGGTCCAGCCTGACCCGGACTGCAAGGGCTCAGCCCTGCCCCTGCAGCCAGACCTTCCCCCCTTCTCCTCCCTCTCTGCAGTGACAAATCCATCGCCACTGTGTTCACCCAGCATTATCTTATCAAACAGAGAGGGGGGATAATATTGATCCTTTTCTCCAATTTTAAAAAGAGGGCGAGGGGAAAAAAAAGAAAAAACCCAAGAAGGGAAAGCGGACAAAGAGAGGCGAAATCAAACCCCCGAGCAACAAAGGAAGAAAACCAGGTGGAAGACGGGAATTGTTTTCTGAAGGCCAGCTAAGTGGAGAATTGAAACGAGGGAGGCTCCGCGAGAGGACTGGGGGATGAAAGGGAGCGAGGGTAAGAAACACAAGGGCTATATAAGTCTGAAAATGGCTAGAAAGAACAAGGGAGAGAGGAGACAAGAATGGAAACCTCTGATGTTGGCAGGAAATGTTGTGATTCTAAAGATGAAACAATTTGTGGGGGAAGAAATTGGGAAAAAATACCCCTGTGTATTTCCTAGGGTGAACCCAAGCAGCAAATGAAGCACGGCAGAGGCAGCGCCGGACAGCGCTGGGCAGGAGTGAGGCGGCGCAGCGTCCTCTGAAGGAGAATTCGGGACTAGGAAATTACATCCCTTCACAAGGCCGGGAGATTTCCAAGCCTGCTCCAGCTGTAGCTGCAGATGTGGCTTAAAAACCCGAGCAGGAGGCCCGTCCCCTGTGGCAGGACTATTTATTCTGCGGCCATAAGATTATGGCCATGAGGTGAATAAGGAGAGACAGGGCTGGAGAGATCCTTAAAACTGCCAAGCTCATCTGAGACAAGTAATAAGGGACATACGCGGGGTCCAGGAAGAGAAACCCGACGGCTTTCCTACTTATCTAGGAAATGATTACAGAAAAGTTTATTGTGCGTATTTTCACTGTCCCTGCATGTTGGGGGCTCTAATTCCATTGGACAGGCGCCAGTGTTTTAGGAAAAAAATGCTGGGGAGAGGGAAGGAATAGATTTACTAGAAAAAAACTGCATTCCTTCCAACCTTTCTGCAGCTTCTTAAAAACATACAAAAAGCCTCCTTCAAGCTGCTCAGTGCCATACCAATTTCCTGTGTAGACCTGGATATTAGTATATGTTTTTCTGTGTCTCCGAAGTTTCCCAAGTTACCTAATGCACGCTCAGCATGGAGCATTTTTAAATGAGTTAGTCTTTATTGAATTATGATTTCCAGCAGTCACTAATAACAAAATTCAAATTGCTCCAGCAGACGAGGATTTGAAGAATGCTGAGAAGAAACTGAGTTTTTAAGAGACTCTAGAAGAGCCACCCACTGCTTGTGTATAGTAACCGTGAGCCTCTCAACGGAATACTTCAAATAGTTAATTAGATTTGCTAAAAAAATAATAAAAAATCAGTCATTAGGCGTTCCCACTCTGGAGACGCTGAATAAAGGCTGTTACTGGCACACCTACGGCTCTGGCAAAAATGAAGCTAAAAATAGGGAGGGTTTTAAATAAAGTTTCAGGTTTTCCTCACACTGTCCCTGCAGTGGGCACGATGCAATTAGCAACACATCTAAAGGAGAAAGAAGAACTTTTATTCCATTAGGACTTCTTTTTTACCTCAGGAATTTCTTCAGGCTGCTAAAGAGGCATTTTTCAAGCAAGGAATAATAGGGAGGCTAGGAGCCCATCCACAGCACGCGGGGCTGGGAACTGCAGCTCACCTGCAAACTGAATTTGCTCTATTTTGTTAACCATTTATTTTGTCTTTACTGGCTGTTCAAAGGGAAGTGTGATAATCCCACTGTTCCTCACTCACTCAGCGGGGAGTTTAATCTAATAAAGCTATTACAGCCGAATGGATTAAAGCAACGTGAAGCATTAGTAATTTGAGGAGCAGTTAAAGAATGTTAACGCTGAGCCTCTGCGCGGATTCTTCTCCAAACACGATCCCAGAGATGAAAGCAGAGCTGCTACTCAATATGTCATTTTTCAGGCACAAAATTTAATTCTCTCAGCCTCTTCATCCAGATGTTTATACTGAGGAGCAAGAGGCTGCCCATTACTGAACAACTGCTGAAACCAGAGGCTGACCAGAATGGGCAGGCTTTCAGTCAACCCACTTTTCATTAATCCTTCTGTTACAATAATATCTCTTTTATAAAGAGAGAGATACATGACCAAAGTAATCTGATTCGATGTATTAGGATGAGCTGCAGTATTAAAAACTGAGGGACTTAATAATGTTCCCTGTCTCAACTCCTTGGTGCAGCAGATGTGGAGCATCCCTTCCAGGATGGCTGAGAGCCATGGCATGGCCAGGCAGGGATGGGATGGGATGGGATAGGATGGGATGGGATGGGATGGGATGGGATGGGATGATGGATGGATGGATGGATGATGGATGGATGGATGGATGGATGGATGGATGGATGGATGGATGGAGGACTGCAGAGCCACAGCATGGCCAGCA